ATTTCAGATGATATAACACGCACTTATATATCAATTACAGTCGTTTGTAAAAAATCTGAACATCGACATACATACCATTATATCGAGTGCATCATGGGTAATATTATGCAATTTTTTCTATTCTAGCTAAAATCAGCTACCCTAGATGTAGCGGTCTTCTTCAAATGATCATGACTGTGTTTTGTTAGCCTGAGTATCAGGCTCTCTCGAAGGGGTTTAGGGCGGAGCGAGAAAGGAGAGAGAGGCTCTCTGATACTCAGGCTAGTGTTTTGTATTTTCGAGACAATAGACGTACAATATTCAATAACTTATGTGGAACTGTTATCGTGACGAGCCAAAGGTGTTAAGTTTTACAGATAAACATTTTATCGGTACATTTTCGTTCTGTTTTCTTTTACTATCCGGCTTTCAAAAAGAGAATGATATGACAACAATTAAGTATTGAAAATAATATAGAAATATCGTTGGCTACAGCAATGCAACAAGTAGATACATGTCAACAAAAGAGAAAAGGTAAGCACGTCAGATAATTTGAGTTTCTTCAAGGCTTTAGATATTGATCTCATACAATGCTCGCTCTTCTATGCACTACAGGAAATATCATACCCAGGCTCTATTGCATTTATCGCAGTTTAAACTAAACTTAGTGGCACTTCTATGATAACGAAATCATTCAGTCATTTTGGTTCTTGACCAATCGTTGTTTCCATATGTATCAGTATTTTCTCCATTATTTTCCATTCAGGAAACCGCTGTTGGTGAACAGATATCAGGTATGTCATCACCTTTATTCGTTAGTTCGTAAGAGAATATTTTTGTATTCCGCCTAAAATTTACCAACCGTTACTTTTCTGGTAACCATTTCAAATATTAATTGATCAGTCGACTCTCTGCACTCTTTCACTTTTATCACACGACTCTTCGGTAATGTTGTTTTATATTTTCCTTATTTGTCTAAATATTCTTTTCTTCTAACAGGACCTGTTGTGTTGGGTGTTTGTCTTCCTATCATATTTATTCTTATCTTGGTCATCGTAGTGATTTTAGTATATAATTGGTGGAAGCGACGGAAAAGGAAAAGTAAGCAAAAATTCGTATGATAGTAATAGACATTGCATGATTTGGCTGTGATGATCATTAGAATCTAAAGGGGATGATAATGTGATTATATCTGATATTTTTAATTTTGTTTATTGACTTTTCAAGAATATTAATGCAGTGCTTCCAACATTGATCATGTTTCACTAAAGATGATACTAAGATATTAAGATACTTTTTTATCGAGCATGTGATTTTGAATCGCAAGGAATTACATAACTAAAATGAAATATTATGGATGTATAGTAGTTACGATAGTTTTCTATTCTCATTTAAATCAAACTTATTGTAATCCACATGAAATGCATTTGAATGACAATTGTTAACTCCAACCAAAGCAGAACGCATTATGGACATGTGGAATTACGCTGTTTTTACGAGCGACGCTAAGAATAGGCGCACAAGCAAGCGAGTCCTTGTTTTATAGTGAAAACCGCTCATCTAAGTGATAAACCAAACGCAGCAGCAACCGCAACAATTCAAAAAAATTCCTTTTATCTTGCGCTTGCTCTTGRTTTCGGCACTGAAAACGAAGCGCAACGCAATTGCAACGTTTTGCCCTTYCTTCTGCGCTTCAGGCTTTAGAGAATAAGGTGTTTCAGAAGGTATCGTGTTTTTCGCTAGAATCAGAATGACATTCTCAAAAACTAATCTCATTAATCGCAATTTAATTCAGTACTCTAACAATATTTTTAGCTATAAATGTTTGGTTTGGTGCCTTTTACTGTCCTTATTTGTTATTTGATTTRACGGAATGTCATYCTGAGTTTGACGAAATAAACTCTACCGTTTTAGAAGTCGTATTGTTGGCCGTCGGTATTGGGATACGCTGTGCTGTAAACGTTTTTTGAAAAAAACAAACAAACAAACAAAAAAAAAACAAAAAACAAAAAAACAAAAGACACGATTTTCAATAATTTATTGGTATCAATAACAACATTTTAATCACAAAAAGAGCCAGTGCTAATACGATTAAAGAGCAGGCTTAAMGTTGGTGAAACCAGTCCAAACGGATACAAACACAATGATGTCTTCGTTCCTATGAATTTCATCAACCTTTCCTGTTAAAAAAATCTCCAAAAATATATCAAAATAAAATAAAAAATGTAAAGAAAGCACAAGCAAAAATCTAATGATTATAAAATACGAGCAGTTACAAAACATTGTTACTAAATTAGGTTAGTTCTTGAAAACAGAAATGCCGTTTCATTCTAAAATATGCACGTTAACTCCCGAGACATTACCTACATTGATTCCTCAATAATTTTTACATGTTTAAAAAAGGTTGATTAAATAGGAATTAGGAAATAATTATTTTCTTTCTCCATGTTACGTTTAATTTTGAAACATGAATGTTACGTTTAATTTTGAAACATGCATATCAAAAACAAATTGTCGTTTTTATGTGTATAGTTATTTGCTATAGAGTATTTGTTATAAATATATTGGTGGGCAGTTGTCTCCAACTATTTAAGTCATTTAACCAATGAAGGTAAAGTCTCGGGAATTGGTGTAAACCTCTTTAAGTAACTAAGGATAGTAACTGCAGGTAAACTTCAAATTAGTTTTACTACAAAAATAACTACAATCCACAAGCCAATTTGTTGGAACAAACAATGAAGAAATACAAAAACAAATGATAATATTTTGAAGGGTGTGTCATGCATCACACCGGTGCAAGTGAGCAGGGGGTCAATCGTTCCTTCGTATTCTTACATCGTTATTCAAAGAAAAAGCATTGATGTTCCAACTTTAGGCAAAGACTGCGTATTCAAAACTACAAAATAATATAAAAGGAGTAATTATCAAACGTCATATATAAATTGGACAAGAAATAGATCAAGTGATCAAAATGTTATTCCTTTAAGCATTAAACGACTATAACTATAAAAGATATTCCTTACTGCTATTCTAATAGGAGTATATTGATGACATATAAGATTACTGTACTTAGAACTAGMGAGAGCGATACATTTATAGGCAAGAGCATTTTGCTCAAACGATATCAGAGGAAGTTGATATTTTGCTCATTTTGATTAAATAAATAGTTCTAGCTTACTTGACTTTAAACAATATCAATGTATTTTGATGTTCATAGAGTGCAAACACAAAAAATATGAAAACAGCTGTTGGAAAAAATCGCGCGCTTTAAAGGTTGTAAATTTGATGTAAATATGATGTAAGTGTCCAAAATTYTGTAAATTTAATGGAAATCATTTACATCAAATTTACATAATTTTGGACACTTACATCAAATTTACAACCTTTAAGGCGCGCGATTTTTTTCCAGTGCAGTACTGTGAACTGTCCTGGATAATCCGGAAGTCTAAAGATTTTGGATTTATCCAGCGGTCTCACATTTTTCAATGTGTTTTTAAAAAAAGGGTCTGATATGCGCATAAAAAAGATTTTTTATTTTTTAGTTCGGCATTCGAAAAAAATATTCAAAAATTGTATTACACTTTCACACTTTTAGTGTTTGTGCTCTAATCTTGTAATCAAATGTAAAGCTCCCGTACAAATATTTCACAAAATTAAGTTACATATGGCTGGATAGCCATACTCAATAAGACTAGTCCGGTGGTTTAATCACATTTCACAACCAATAGATTTTACCCAACTAACTACATTATTACATTWACTAAAACATTTCATTGTTCTCAGCTCAGAGGATTTGTAGTAGAGCAGCCATGCAACAAGAGGGCGAATCTATTGGTTATGAATATAATCAAGAATAGATYATACAGCTTTTTCACAAAATACTCAGTGCTTAAGATACAGTATTYAAATACCGAAAATGCAATTTGGTCGTCGYATCACCGCTTATAKGGTTTTCACAGTTTGAGAGTGACTAAACTAGTTCCGTACAGCCAAGAGCTTCAATGAAAGCTTCTCATTTTGTAACAYYATTTGGGTGGAATCCAATACCAACAATGCATTTCGATACGCAGTATCACTGTATTCAGTACTAAACGTTTCTTAAAATAGCTGTATGTAARTCAATTAATCTAATTAGAGTTGAGAAGAGTGCAGCAATCTGATTCTCGTTATCATGAGTTATCCACTCTRATATGTTAAGCTTTTGATCGCAACACTTCGAAGGTCATCTAACAACACAACTCTAGCTCACCTCAACATGGAGTGTTCCTTTGGTTCACAACACCCCATGCTACATAAAATCACAAATCACAATGATTACATGTAGTTAACTATAATGAGCTTCTAGATTTTTTTTGTTTTTGTTTTTGTATTTTGCTTATAGCAATGGCTGACACTAAATGTTTTGCTTGCTATTCTAAAGTTTACACTTAGTTTTCAATTGCTAACACTATACAGACAAACCCAGATGAACAATGCAAAATTTTCATTAAAATATATAGATTAGATGAAGTAACGTGTGAATCCTTTCTCAGTTTTGACATTTTAGTTGCCCATGTTAAATGATCAAAATCTTTGTTTAATGATATCTTTTCATTTCTTTTTCAATTTTTGMTAACATTTGAGGGGTTTTGGATTATTCACTTCATTAATCCATTTCAAAGATTGGTGCTGTGGTCAATCAACAGTTTGAATGGAGAAACTTGTACTTTACATAGTCCATCTTCGGGTTTTTTGATTAGTACCTGCAGCTGATGGACTAAACATTATTAGGCAATKGCTTCTAAAAATTCTAGAAATCTTAAACTAACTGAGCCCTAAACATGCCAATAAATAATGATTTGTAATCTAAAATATCTACCCTATCTAATRGACTTATCTCATTTCCAATTTACGTTCTTTTCTTTTCTTAAAGTCAAAACTTGTTTTGATACTTTTGCATATTTTACTACGTGTTAATATATCCTTTTGGTTTTATTACCTCAGTGCATTGCATGATATTCTTTTTGGAAATGAAATACTACCAACATTGCACTTAAAAACGCAAGTCTGTCCGCAAATCAAAGTTGAGCTTGCTTACTAGTGAGAGCAGATTTTGTTTGGCTGTGTAAACTGCACATCACCACGACACTGACACGCACGTTACGGCATATGGTACAGTCTCGGCACGAAAGTGCCATGGTTTTTGCAATCATACAAAATCCATTCTAACTGTAGTATAGTACCAGGATATTGCGCACTATGGCTTGCAAAGCATGGTCTTGGTTATTTTAGCTAACTAAAGGGCTCCATCACATGACATGTGGCTAAACAGCATATTGYGATAATATCTAGATAACATGTTATAAGTTGCTATAATAATAACAAAGTCTACTGAATGCGGTAAGACAAAAGTGGATCCAGACTTTCCTTCAAAGAGACGTTAACCCTTTAACCCACATAGTATATTGCCATTTTAGCGATTTTTTGGGTCCTTACAATCGAGTTTCTACACTTCTTGTCTGCTGTTACCATAGCAACTCTTAATTTTAGTGCTTAGTCTTTGCTCTTTTGGACAGTCTAGCGAGAAACGAGCRGAATTCGTTGTAGTTGGCTTCAGGGAGGCGATGAAGTCGAATTTTGCTTGTTTTTCACGCCTTTATTCCTAGTACTCGCTACTGCATCAGCATCATAAAGCGCGAAGGTAGTTTTGAGCTAACTTTCTCAAAGAACCGAGTTAGATGACAAACTTTTAGCCGAGATTYTCCCGGAGAATGGCTCGTTTGCATTCAAAATGGAGGTCAAAGCGTTTTTGTGTTCTTCAGTCGCCTAAACTTTTCAAAAAGTGTGTTGGTAGGACCGTATTTTGCCTCTACTCTGAGCTTAAAGACAGGCTTTAAGCTCAGAGTAGAGGCAAAATACGGTCCTACCAACACACTTTTTGAAAAGTTTAGGCGACTGAAGAACACAAAAACGCTGATTTTGTGGCAGGATTCCGTGTAGGCACAAAAAGAGACATAAAATAGAAATAGTGAACTAAGGGTGGGGTGCAAATCCCTTGTCCATCTGGATCCACCCTTGAAATACCTTACTAAATATATGCTTTAATTTTAACTAAAGGCAAGAATTACTGCAATTTTCACAAACTTGGTTTTTCAAGTTCCAGTGTAGAATCTTTCCTCTTGCTGCTGTCAATCACAATCTKTCAACCTGTCWTAAACAAGTCAGCTTTTCGTTGTTTCAGCRTGCAGGCTCAAATTGCATTCAAGCATCTTCTACTATCRMTCACAGGAAGCCAAAATTCCAATTGAAAATAATTGTCTMTTTCCAAGCCATGGAGGTAAAGCATGTTGAAAATTGCAGTAAGGTGGWGCTGATGGTCTTTTAATTAGGACATCGGGATCCTTAGTCCCTTCTTTTTATCTTTCTTCTGCGAAGATTAAAAAGTTTTTTGTTAAAAGGACTAATTACTGATAAAAGTTACAAATCATAACTGCACACTATTATTACAAATGGCCAAAATTGGGGAGATTCATCCACTACATGTATTATAGGTCAAATTTTAATCAAAATCTATATCATTAATTGTGTTAGTAAGATCTGTATCTTTTTTAATATGCTGCCAAAACAGCATTTCATTGCACAAGTTAAAATCACAAAGTTTCCAGGCCCAAAAGATTAAATCATTATCCCATTCATTTATGGTGAAAAAATGCAGGAGCTTATTGTGACTAAGAAATATGAAACAAATTCACATTTTATTAAAAATATCTTACACTCCTTGCGAGAACTTTAAATTAAAATTTGTACTCAAAAACCTTTTTGAATAATGTAAAACGTCAATTCTTTAGATGACTAAGATCTTGGTTCCTTACTTTATCATTTGCTATGCTTTGTTTTTTTTTATAATGAAATAACTTACTGAAGTTTCGGACGTTAATCCTTTGTCGAAGGACTCCGACGAAGGATTAATGTCTGAAATGTCAGTAAGTTACTTCTCCTACTTTTTTTACGGTGTTAAMTTTATCTTTTACACAAMTGTTTCTTTAGAAACACCGACGCAGCTCACATTAGTTTACAGGTAGTTTCCACCAAGTTTTCTTATGATTGATTAATGACAACAATTTAGATTTGGCTCAAGATCTTTAGATTTCGAGTTCTTTTTGCTAATTCAAGGTTATAAAAGAGAGAGTCATAGCCTAATATTATCATATTTTACAAATTTATAAAATAAAACGAAAGATAATCCGAATAATCTCATTTTGACTGATATTCAATCGAAAATCTTGTCCATCCATTTTCGATTGAATATCAGTCAATTATTCGGATTATCTTTCGTTTTATTCTACCTTAAACTGTCAGCCTCGCCTGGTTTTTACAAATTTATGATAGTTTCTTGTGGTATGTCCATTTTTTACCATAGTTGGTGTCATCAAAACATCAAAATTGTTGTTAATCCAAGAGACCAAGTAATCAACTACTTGCAACCATTGGTATTTCTTCATGTTTAATATCATGGCTCTTGGCCAATTAGAAA